TATAATATAAATATTTTTAGCGGATATAGTGTTTTCCAAACTATTCTCAAAATCGAAAAGTTTTTCTATATGAACAATTTGAAACTTTGTTTAAGTCGTTTAAAAAATATGAAAATTATTTAAATCAATGTTTGGCACATTAGTGAGTACTCCATGTGGTACTTGCGTATAATATATAAAACATATTGCTTACCTAAATGTCCACCAAATGTCGAAGCATGTTACATTTAGCCAAAAAAAACTCGACAAAAAGAAGAAGTTGAAGATATATGCTGAAAAGATTTAATAAATAATGTTTTAATCATTATATTAGATTGATAATCATTTATATATAATAGTTTATTGTAGTTATTAATTAATTGTTATATATCTCAGTTTGTGAGATTTTCTTGATTGTATATGTATGTCTATACAGTATTGCAAATGTGTTAAAAAATTCATTGTTTTTGTGAATTAAATGCTTCACTGTACAATTTCTCTAATTAAATCAGAAAATTAACTACATAAATGTAGGCTATTTTACATATACGTGCGTATATATATATCTATATGCTTATACATGCTGTACCTAGTTCAACGCAATAGCTCTTTTCAGCTAATCCACTAATTTGTTGGCCGACATACATAATCGCGTACGTGATGAATAAAGAACCCACGTGTGCACGTAACGTGTAACCATGCATATTTTGGAGATCTGGCAATATGGAATATATTATAAACGTTAAGAGCAGGAATGGTAAAGACACTAGCTGGCACACGGATACATATATTGGAAGTTTAGTCTCGTTAGTGCAGACGATAACATCGTATATTTTCCTTAACAAAATGGCAAAGCAATAAGACTTCGGTGAAATAAATTCGCCGTTACTTAGATACAAAGAGCCATTGGTGAGAAACAAGTATGTATTGGCACTAAGCATACGGCGTCCATATCCAGTTTCAACGCATGGATCGCGAACAGTGACAAATAGTGTGTTCAACGTTTCATCCTTGGAATCGTTCTTGAATGTGTAAATATTTGGGAGAGCGAAATTTTCCTCTCCATGATAGATGCATCGCCCCTTTACCGTTAAGTTATTAGTTAAAGGACAACAGAGCTGAATGCAAGTAACATTATTGTCACTGCACACTTTATATGTATCAGTATCTACAGTTATTTTATCTTGATTTTGGTAGAGTTCGACCGATATGGAAATGTTCTTGTCTTCAGTTTTGGTGAGATTTTCATTAATATTTTGCAACGTGGAATTATTGATATCTGTCGAATTCATGCAGGACTCCATAGATGTCTGATTCTTACAATTGTTCTTTGTAGAATTAGTACAGGATTCATATTGCACTTCACCGTTTTTAATAGAATTTTCGTGTGAATTGCATTGTGTTAATTCTATCTCTTCATTTCGATATTCCGTAGAATTTACCAGAGGATCAGACTGCACTGTCGAGTTGTCGCTTTGTTCATTGCCATTCGTAAAATCTCCTTGAGATTTCGAGAACGAAGCAACAAGCAGAAATACGAAACAAAATACGATATTTGATGGATACATTGTTAAATTATTGAAGCGTCGATTCACAAAACCAACTTGGTTTTCCTTTATGTCTTTTTTCTATAAGTAAATATTTAGCGTGACATTGTCAATTCAGGAAAGAAGCGCAATGGCTTCATTCTGCAACGGTTTTGTCTGAAAAATTCTGAAAAATAAAAAATGAGATTTCTGAAGTGAGCACACGAATACATATTAGGATGATCGATGACATCGAATGAAGAAGATACCTTGCAAGGCAGGTCCTCCATCGGCCATGAATAATGACAGAGTGGCAAGGAGTCTTTAATCCTTTTAAATTTTTTTAAAGAATTAATTTTTATCTTTGGAGAGATCCAACACGATCCCTTTAAAATATATTACGTAAGTAATTATATGTAAAATGATTTATTTAAAAAATGATGCAGCTAGGAATGGGAAGCGATATCTTGATCGAATGATTAATTATACGCGAAGGAGAACTGTTTTATTTGTTTCGAGAGATTAATTCCACACATATACATATGTTTACGATAGGATGCATGAAAATTTGAAAATTTTTTTTTCTATAATGACATTGGATGTGTTATTGTGTAGTGCACATACAGTCAGCATAAAACACATAGCGTTAAATTGTGCAAATTCCTCAAATTGAGAATAACAATATTTGTAGACAACGTTGCGTGAGAGGGAACAACATGGGCCCAATCGAGTTTGATCATAATTTTGTCAACTTGTTTTTCTTCTTCCTTTCTGTATTATAGATCAATATATGTACTTGTAGCTTCTATTCTTGTTAGGTAGTTTTAATGACAATTTAATCAAATAAGATAAACTTTTATCTTCTCAACTATGAATTACGATTTAAAATTTCATCAATTTATTAACACCATTACTTTAAATTATTTTTATATTCTGTAGGAATATCCTTATTTTTTTTTATAAATCACTGAAATATAGAACGAGAACAGCTAAATGAGAAGTGCTAAGAGCAAAAAATTTGTTTGATGATATGTTAAAGATAAAGAAGTTTGAAATCAGAAATGCGCCTCGGTCGAGATAACATTCGTTGATGCGAGGTCAATTTCATAGTTCATGGACAATTGCATCGTATATGCCTTTCACGTAGTTCCCGCTAAAGGAAATATCAAACATGATAGTGACATTTAGGGATTCCTGTTGTCGAAATCGATTATATAGAGGTGAGAAGAGAATACGATATTAAATCACACATCAATTACACAGAAAATTTACAAATTATGAGCTGTATTGATTATAAATAAATTAAGTAGAATTAAAATGTTGAATTGTTAATTACTTCTTTTATCTCATTTTATATAATGTTGTATTGTAATTACGATGACAACATCAATTAATGTATCATTTATTAAACTTAAGTTCCGGGATGTAAGTTTTCTACAAAGTCCTTAGCTAATTGTCTCTGATGTCATTTTATATTTATGACTATTATTCAAGGATTTTATTATCGGTCATACACGATGTACACAATAAGAATTGTACGGTATAATTACTTGATTATCCGGTTTTTATCTCAACCGGTTTATATTGAATAAGCAAATTTATAAGAAAAACATTCTTTCATTTATACTCTTTTACTTATTTATGTATGTTTACACAAAATCGTATTATAGTTATGTGTAGTTGTAGTAAAAGTAAAAAAAAAAACAATTGTCCTAAGAGATAAAAGAAAAATAATTAATTTAAATATAATACGTACGTACTACTAGAAAAAAAAAATTTAATATATTACAGTTCCTATGTATTTATTGAGGATGTAAGCAAAAAAAAAAATTTATGTATTGTACACTTTTTTCCGATAAATGTTAGAATCAATATGACATTTATAACGGCTGTGATTTTGAGCTAAATATATAGTGATGAATAAGATGATAAGTACTACGTTTAATTTCACTTCCGCGATTAACTTCCCAGCAAACAGCGCACGAATGTATGTACTCGGGCAAGTAACAAAACAAGACTACTGAACGACGAGTTGTTGCTGCCGTTGACGGTGTTAAAAAAAAGCAATTTATCGTATATACTAGGAATTTACGCATGTATATAGTAATACGTAGTAATAATGAAAAAAAGACACTATACCAACAAGTTTGTAAAGATGGGAGTTTAACCAGTTTGGACAATACATATTATATATATAAAAATAAATGGTACATATAATACAAAGGATCGTATATATGTATGGTCGTATGTATGTATGTATATAAGATCTTTTACATGTACCATCTATTTTTTATATCAATACTTTTTTAATGAAAGTACGAGGGTCGACTGATACAACAGATAAGTGATATGCATACGTCCGTAACGTAATCTTGTTTGGTTACAAGGTCATTTATTGAATGCTGTATCCCAGTGAGAAATGATAATGAAATCGACATCGAATTGATGTCGATTCGACGTCGAAATCATCAATTTGACGTCAAATTGACATCGATTCGACGTTTATTTCATTATCATTTCTCATTAGGATGGGTGTGCATTACTTATATCAGTTGTTTTTCTTATATGATTCTTTTTACATAATTATTTTCTACATTATTTTACGTATATAAAAATATAAAAAAACCTCTTTAAAAAATAAAAATTTACGCGCCAAGTGTGTAATTTCGAATATTATATTTTTTCTAATAAAAAATGGATGCGAAATAAATACAATTAGTTAAGTATTTCATAATGCAAGATATACATTATAAGATAAACTGAAAATGATTAAAATAACTGGATTATATAGTGAAGAAAATATGGGTGTGTTCGGGTAGCATTAATAAAATTGTACTTTTGTGAATATATTTATTATCTCAACACAGCTATATTTGCATTATAAATTAAAATATAAAAATAATATGTATAATATATAAATATAATATATATATATATGTATATACAAGTGACATATAGTTTGTGGAGCATGAAAATATACGCACAAATAATAGACGTAATATAAATTATGGAGAAATAATACGTAATTATTTTTATATTTTAATTTACAATGTAAATACTGTTTTGAGATAATACATAATATTATACTCACAGGAGTATAATTATAATTATATGTATACCCGCTACCCGGGCATATCATGTTTTTTCTTCATTTATGTTTCGGTTGACAATTTTATAATCACTTTCAGTTATTATCTTATGTATCTTGCGTTATGAAAATACTTGGCTAATTGCATTTCTTTCATATATATTTTTCATTAAGAAGAGTGTATCTATATATATAATATTTGAGATACCTTTTTTAATAGTATCTCTTCATTTTTAAAAAATTTAAGTTCTATATTATTACGTTTTCAAAAATTTACAAAAAGCTTCTGATTTCCAGTAAGAAATCAGCTACATAGTAAATTGATAATTCATTGCATGTTTGGTACATATAGACGAGCTAGGATAAAGGATGCCGTCTAAAACAATAATGATATAATAGCTAACGGATATTAGCTAACACGTTCATTATCATGATTTTCTCAGGCTTCTCTGATATCAAAATCGTATTTTGAATTGCTACGCAAAAAACATCACGTATTATGTTAAACTACGTGTTTTGTTAGTTAAATCAATTTTTAAAAAAACTAACTTATGTAAGCAAATATAATGTTCAAATTTTTTATGCTTCCTTTTGCAACACGAAGTTCTGTTTTTCTTTTCAACAAATTACTATGCGTAGCAGCTTTTTTAATTGATTTATGCTTATCTAGTATTCTAGTATATTAATTTTTAAAATTAATAAAACATGTTTACGAACGTGTATTTATTGTACATACATATAGTATATATGTTTATATTCTGTGTCTATTCAAAGATTGTAATAAGTATTACTGTTACAAATAATGATGCAAATTAAGTATCAATAAAATCAATAAAACGTTAATAAAATTTCTATAGTGATCGATTATTTGAATCCATCTTGAAGACCAAAAAATTTTTTTTAATTTTTTTATTGCATGTTGTAACCTATATGAAACAGATAAAACAATTAATATTCACTTTTCAACCTTTCTCTTTAATCATTGAAAGTGTTTAAATAAATTTCGTATCTTTAAGTCATTATAATATACACGACTTTTATTTAAAATTATGACTTAAATTATTTATTAATGTTTCGTTCAAGTTTAATTATCAATAGTAGACACGAATACTACAGCAGAGAAAAAAATTTAATTTTCCGACAAAAATATTAAGATATTATTTATATCAATTATCGATAATGTCAGCGTTCCGTTCTTCAATTACCGAAAGATAACTGAAGGACGCTGACGCCCTTTTTGCGAGAATAAAAATTTGCCCAGGGTCGATGGTCTTTAATATAGTTCTCGTTGTTGATGTAATTAATTCGATGTGATTAATTCTCGCAAATAAATCAAATATTTTGTTTCTTTTTTCTCATCATTTTATTGTCCTTTGTCGTCCATCTCTATCGTCAATGACGATTGGCCGAAGATGGTCGAACGTTGTCGACGTCGAACTCCGAAGACTCGAGTATTTTCTTCGCCAAGAGTTGACAAGAGTCGTGAAGAGTCGCAACTATCGCCATTGTGGCCAACTGTCGCTCAAGGAAGATTCGTAATGGCGCGCGTCTAAAATTTGCGTTAACATATATATCGAGCATATCAGTTATTTGACGTAAGTGCGTAAGTGCATTTGTCACTCCTAGACGCAACAATTCTTCGATTTCGTTGTAACGGTGACCGGTGACGTCGGTGATTCGCCAATTCCACGGATCGCGCAGAGTGTTGTTGGATGTGACCCCTTTCCGTGCATGCGCACTGCAACGCTGGAGAAATCCAGGAATGTATCAATGTACACGAAAACATAGGTCCTATAGTTTTGGCGGGAAGGCGGATTCCAGCTAAGGTACGTAAAATAATATTTACACGTATATTTGTGCAATATGGATTCCAATATTGTTAAAGGAGAGCTATTAAAAGAAAATTTAATAGAACTTTTTAAAATTCTTGGTTAGGTGAAGACATTTTTAAAGA